AAGGGGGGGTCTTTGGAAGTTTGCATGGGGCCCCTGTCTTAGGCCTGGTACCGTCCGTTTTATTTTCACAATCACAAGCACTCCCAGAGGAGGGAAGTAGATGTCAAAGCCCAGCGATACCCAGAATGCCGGCTGTGTCTCTGGGGTGCAGGCACTCGGCCAGTCCCTCGGCAGGGGTAGTTTTGTGCATCTGTTTGTCAGGGTTGCTGCTGCCTGGCTGGAGTGAACCCAGAATGAGAGCTCCAGTGACAGCCCTGAGATCCCCCAGGTTCAGGCCAGTCCTATAAATCCCTCCCCAGAGCGGGAGGTTTTGGGGGGAGGAGGGAAACTCCACTCAGATCCCCCCAAATCCTGCAGCCAACTGGGCAGGAGCATGGGGGCTTTGCTGCTCTGGCTCCATGTGGTGGCTTGGAAGTGGAGGGGCGAGGGTTAATAGCCAGATGGGGAGTGAGTGAGAGAGAGGGGAGGAGCAGTCACTGGCAGGCACTCCCCCGTCTCCTGCCAAGGGCTGTCTGGCACAGCACTGGCCCTCACTCTTTCCATGAGTCACCATCGCTCCATGACTCAGCAGGCCCAGGCCCAGCCCCCGCAGCCCCACGGGCTGATTGCAATGGGGATGCTCAGAGCCACGGGACACACACAGAGAAGTATGCACGCATATGCACACACACACATCTATGGATTAATGCACACACACATAAACATGCAGACTCACATGTATGCATGGACACATGCTCAGGCGAGCACACGGACACACATGCAAACACATTTAAACTCACCCATACAGAGATGCATACACGCACAATGCATGCATATACATGTGCACACACATTTAAACACACCCATACATAGATGCACATGCATGCACATGTATGCACGGACACACACGTGTGCACACACACAAAGACACCCATGCCGATATGCAAACACATTCCCATACGCACACTCCATTCCCAAACCAGAAGCTTGCTGGCAAAGCCAGACCAGGATGCCTGCGCTTTATGGGGGACTCTCTCCAGGGTTTCCTGGGTTCCCCCCCATTTTCCTCCTGATTTTCCATCACTGCTGCTCCTCTGGCCAAAGAGGGCCGGAGACCTCTCTGCCCTGCCCCAGCACTGCCCCGCTGCCCCCTGAAACTCCTGCTCACCTACCCCATTAGCAGTGGGGCTTGGAGCGGGGGCAGGTGGGAGGAATCTAGCTATGTCTTGCACAGAAAGCCAGGACGCATCTGGGCAGGTAGGCGAGATTTGCCCAGCCAGTGTCATGGCAATGACTGTGGGCTGGGCAGAGACCAAGCAGCACCTTGGCCTGCCCTGCTCCTGGAGGTGGCCAGTTTCCCACCATGGGGAGCCCTACAAGCTGGGCTAGCGACTGCTAGGTGCGTCTCCTGGTCTGCATGCTGGTGGAGTGTTCCTCCCCCAACCCCTGAGTACCCCAGCTCCCTGCCCCCAGTGCCCTGCGGCAGCTGCTGAGCCATCTGGGATGTGTCTTGGGAGTAAGGATGAGCAGGGAACCCCGGGGAGGCCAGCATGGCCTGTCTATGCTGCAGGTCCAGGGCTGCTAGTTGGATGGTCCCGGGCGGCTAACAGTATGCCTGGGATCCTGGTCCAGGCAAACCCTCCTGCCAGCTACTCCGATGGCAGGAGCCCTGGGAAATAGAGCGTATGGCAATGAACAGAGGCAGAGATCTGCCTGCTGCCCCGGAGCAGATTGGCGTTCAGAGCTGGGCTCTGTCCCAGGCTGCTAGGGCCTGGGCGTGCTGCGGGACTAACCCTTCCTGGAGTGGCGTGGCGCTGTTGGCCCCGGAGGGGGCCCCCTTTGCAGGGAGGGGAGGAGATGGTCTCTGAGGGTGCGGGGACGGGATCAAGTTGGAGAGAAGGGGTCCCTACAGACAACCGGTTCCTTTGTCCCCTTGATTCTTTCCCCGAACACCACGTCCATCCTCTGCCCTGAATGAGGTCAGGTCTGGGGACAAACGAGTCAGTGATGATGTCATTGAAGACTGTATCACAATGCACAGGCACAGATTTCATTCTGGCATGTCCTAGCTTCCCAGGACTTGACTTTGCAACCTGCGTGTTTTCTGCCTGCAGTCATCTGTGTGCGATATGCAGCACTGCCAACCCCAGGGGTTCAAAACGCAGGCGTCAGACCCCCCCCCTCCCCCCCCCAGATCAGGAGAGTGGGCCAAAA